GTAAGATGACAGCTTAAAAGAGAGGAATGAGGGAGAAAAATGTATTACCTTTCTTGCTTCAGGGTTGACATAAAGGAAAAAGGTACCCACATGGAAACCTATAGAACCTATAGAACAAATAAACTAGGGAAAGAATATATAACACATTCCTCCCAAAATGTATACACACTTTAACAACTGATAACTCAATTTTTATTCCTTTTTTTTTTTTTTTTTTTTTTTTTTACTGATTTGAAATAATGGGTGAAGCCAGACTAAGCTTTGAACAAAGAAAATTTATCCTAACGTGTTACTAGACTTTTTTTAATGGGGTTACATAAAAGATAAAGTTTAAGGTACAAAACCGGTAACAGTCGACAAGTTTAGGGTGCACAAATACGGAACAAAATGATTCTTGATGTTTGCAATTCCATTGCTTTGCTTTGTCAGCAGTGCCTGCACCAGAATGATCATCAGTTTGAAAACAGGCATCGACAAAAAAATTATTCAGTTCTGTAGATTCTTTTAAATTTTGAAAATGAACTTATGTTAATAAACACTCACTTTATAATCATTCAAAATGTGTGCATTTGGGGGGCCACCCTGCATGTTATTTTGATAGTCTTTCATTGCCTTTATTAAACTAGACAGAACAAAAGGATCATCCATGTTTCTGAACATAATGAAATGATGCATTTCTATAGTTCTTTACAGCTCATTGGCATGTTTATGAATTGTCTTCTCCCACCGTGTGTGTGTGTGTGTGTGTGTGTGTGTGTGTGTGTGTATCTTTTTTTCCCCACTGTTGGAACATAAATAGTTTAATGACCATTTCTGAAGCCTCCACACGTACCCTGAAGGTCCTGAGGTCAGCCCACGTCCACTGACACCAAGCTAATAGGACTTGGATCTATTTGAAGGGCCCAGGGCAAGGCCCCAGACCGAGCAAGCGCAGCTCAGCTGAAGTGCACACAGTTGCTGCGCGTAGGTTGATGGGGAGGCGGGGCTGTCCAGGGCTTCACGTGCAGAGCTCAGGGCGTGGCGGCCCACGTGGCTGCGTATGCACAGCACAAGCCCCAGGGAGCCGGAGAGCAGCCGTGGGCGCCACTCCTTCTTCGCAGGAGCCTAGAAACGTGCGTGGCTGGTGGTCCCCGAATTTTTGCCCTCGAAGTGGGTGACCTCTCCGTGGCCACAGTGCCCACCCACGTGGGCCCGCACCAAGGTCCCGTCGCTACGTCAGCTGGAACAGGAAGAGGTCTCCAGGCTTGGGTTCCTGTCCTCCAATTCCACAGCCTCGAGTGCTGAGCCAGCAAGGCCGAGGGGGAGGATTTAATGGTATCGAAGCCCCAGTCTGGGCCTGGAGTCCAGAGAAGACGAGACAAGCTGCAGCCTTCTGCTCCAGGTACCTGGCATGCGAAGCTCATTCAGTTTCAGAGGAAGCATTGTCCTGCTGACACCTTTTCCGATTTCTAACCTCTGGGCCTCCAGTTTGGCTGTCCCTTCTTTCGACCCCCGTGGTCTCCAGGCGCCTCAGAATGAGCCTCACCCCTCTCATCCCAAGGTGCCTCCATGTCTATACAGACATTTGGATTATTTTCACAACAGGTTTTTTTGTTGTTGTTGTTGTTTTTTGTGAATTTGCATGATTCCAGCCTCTTAGTCTAGTAATTCCTTTTGCATTTGGCATTTTATACTTTAATGTAAATTATTCTAGAATTCAGTTAATCTAATTTTAATTTGGAAAATACTTTGGGAATAAGGAACCAAATGGAGCATGAATACATTTTTTTTTAAATGTACTGATATTTTCCTTTTCATGAACGTAGCCCGCAGCTTTGGATTGCAGTTTGATTTTTTTTTTTTTAATGTCGAATTTCAAAAGCAACGAGGTGGCTAAATTCTGCTTTTTTTCCCCCCTTCCTGCCACCCACCCCCTTAGAGAAGTAAAAACCTTCAGAAAGCCATGCGTCAAGTGCAACACAAGAAGGACTACCAAAAGATTCATCCTGAAATCTTTATATTAAAGGAAAACACACCACGTTGTTCTTTTTTTATTTTGGGGCAGTTTGATTCATTGCTTGCAGCGATTTCTAACTTTACAGACTAAACATTTCTAATTGGGAAATGGATGGCTTGAATCTGAGATGGTGATGCAGGATATAAACTTTTCAACTAGGGGTAATTACTTTTGAGTAGTTGGCAGATTACTGCTGACCAAGCCCTTGTTTCGCCTTTGAGGAAAGAATGAAAATGAATATACACATTTCACACTTCATTGAAAGGAAATACTTAGCCTGACATAGATAAAGCCAGGAGACAAGAGGGATATTTGCCATGCTTATTTGTTCCCATAAAATGTATTAAAGGTTTACTTATTTTGATGGATGAGGAAAACACTAGCAGTAAATTTATGTGTTTTCAACTGGGGAAATGAGGCAATAAAAACACCTACTTCTTAGGTTAAGTAACTGTGAGGATTAAATGGGAAAATCACATAAAAGGTTCAGCAGTGCATCTGGCTCACGGTAATCAGTCAGGAAATGTTAGCTCTTGTTGTTTATTGTCATCGTTACTTTTTATTCATCCCTATTCAGTGGAATAGCTTTCGTTATATAATGTTAGGCTTCAGGTTTTACAACTTCCTGATGGTTAGTTTGTGAGATATATCAATAATTTGAATCAATATATAAGCCATATTTTGCTTTAAATGCTTTAAATGTTGGAATTATTATATTTCATGAGGATTGAAGTCCCCTTTAAAAAGTTCATAACCTCTCCCAATGGCTTGCACCATCTTTTAATTATTCTACAAATTAATGATATAGTTTTTCTTTTTTCCAATCAAACATTTTATTTGGTTTTAATCTTGGGGGAGGGGTTAGATATAGATAACTTGTCATAATGTACCTGATGTAGTTGTCCTTATAAACAGTCCTGCTTTTGAATAATTTAATACTTCTTCATTTGATATATTCCCTTGAATTTGCAGGATAAACTGTTTTTTAACATTAGGTTTTTGTTGCTATTCTTGTTTATGTGTTTGTTTTAAGATAACTTAGTTTTTAAGTTATTATTCAATACACTTGGATCCCAAGTGCTGAAGACCGGTAACTTCATGGTGTGGAAAGTTAGTGTAACGCCTCAAAATGCCAAACTGCATGGGTCATATAATCTGGCCTGTTGTTGCTAGTTTCACTAGTTTATCTATAAACAGTTAATTTTAATTAATTATTTAGTTAGTTTTAATTAGTTATTGCTTATTTTAAATTGGTAAACGGATCAGCGATTTCTATTTCAAGTCTATCTGTATAATGATTATATAGAACTAGAGGCCCGGGTGCATGAAATTCATGCATGGGTAGGGTCCCTAAGCCTGGCTGACGATCAGGGCTTATCTGTGAGGCAATGGGAGAGGGGCCCCCTTGCTGGCACCCACCTTGGCTAGCCTGGGGCCTGCAGGCTGGGGGCAGCTCCTGCATTGAGCATCTGCCCCTTAGTGGTCAGTGCATGTGTTATCGACCAGTTGTTCCACGGGCTATTCTGCTATTTGGTTGATTTGCAAATTAGGCTTTTATTATATAGGATACTTTTACATAATATGACAAACTTTTCCTTCTTACTAAATGCTGAGTCCCTGGAGGTGAAGAGATGGATATGATGTCCTCGCATATACCATTACAATGTTACACTCTGGAGCTGACCTCACACGTGGTAGGCATTCAATAAATGCCTGTGGATGACCTCATTTGAATATCTCATAGGAACCTCAAAGGACATATCTAAAACTGAACTAAAGCTTCAGCCTCCAGAGGAGGAGGGCTTCTGTGCTTCCCATCTAGAGAGGTTCCACTTTCACCCAAGTCCCTTCTCTCTCTTTTACTCTCACGTTCAGTCACCAAGTCCTGTGGGTTCTACTTCCTAAAAATGTCTCAGTTTCCTTCAACTCCAATGTAGCTCCCTTCATTCACCCCAAGTCATGTCCTACCTGATCTCCCTCTAAGAGTCTCCTTCAGGTCACTCTCCCCTGCAGCCAGAATGATCTATCTGGTGTCACTGCACCCTTTCTGAGGTCTCCCTTATCCTTGGATGAAGTTCACAAACTTTGCTATAACCTATATAACTCATGATATTTCTCTGTCTCTTTCTCCCACTGAATTAAGTTGAGCCTCCTAAGTGCCTGGCCCTCTCTCACCTTCAGTTTCCTCTGCTTGGAATGTTCTCCTCCCTCTCCTATCCCTTTTGCTGCTCTGTTTTACAAAAACACCATGTTGTTATTTGTTTTTCTATTATGGTCTCTTCCTCTCAGTAATACCAGGTTCATTTTCTCTAACACTGACCTCAAAATAGTTTTATGCTTTTTATCTGCACATCTTTGTAGAAATAGCTGGTTTATAGAAATAGCTGTAAAATAACTGTTTTTGTTTCATTGCAACAGGTAGGGAAACTGAAGCACTAAATGTAAGAAATATATGTCATAATTATTAAAGTATAAATTTCTTAAAGGGCAGAGACAGGAACTAGATCTGTGCTTTATGTCCAGTTTTGCACAGTGCCTAGGATAGAGTATTCAGGGCACATTGATCTCAGTTTGAGCCTAAGGTGCTTCTCTTTTGAGTCAATGAGGCTTCTGTTTCATCATTTATGCTTTGGGACAAATGAGGCCAAATTCTACTGTGAGCCTTCTTCTTCCAGAAGGGAAATATGCCTGAGGAGAGAATCTGGAAGCCCGTATTGCTTTGAGTTGTTCGGGTAGATTCTTTTAATGTTAGCTGGCATGGAAGAGAAGGGCTTTTGTTGTGATGGCAATTAATGATGATTTTCACATTGTAGAAATTTACAAAGCAGTGGCCACCCTGCACCACATAAGAAACACCTCTCTCTCCTGGACCATGAAATCTGTGACCTGTCTATTTGAATACATGGTTGTTATGCATGCTTCAGCCCTGGTGACAACTGGTCCCAAATGGCTGCTGTTGGGTCATTTTAATGCATCTCTAATTTGGATTTCTTTTTTCTTGTAGGGTGTTCATCAGAAAAAATGGTTATTTCTTTGAACACATACTTGGGATTTTTCTGTTTATTATGCCACTGGATAAAGACAGGATCATCTCTGAATCTTGAAGACCCTAATGTGTGTAGCCACTGGGAAAGGTAATAGTTCTGAAAGTAATCTTAGAAATAATTTCTAATACATTTCTTTATATACTGTCATCTTCAGTCAGATATATAAGGTTAGAATTTGATGATTGTAAAGTTACTTTTATGTAAAAATCAGTTATAGCTAATAAATCAGACAGTATTATTCATTTTGGTCTTATAGAATATATATTATGTGTGTGTGGGGGGGAAACTTGATATATTGATTCTTACACAGGTGCAATTATAAGTTTGTAAGAGTCAGGGAAAACATTACATTAATCGTTCAGTTAAAATGAATTCCCTAAGGTCCTGTCTCTGCTCTAACTTTATTTATAGTAAGTTGGGGGAGTTGGACTTCTGTATGGAAATCAATGAGTAAGCAGTGGAAGACAGTGTATAATAATGCACTTAAAATGTATGGCAAAAAAAAAAAAAAGTGCTTTCGGTGGCCTAAAAGGGAGACATTTCTGGGGACACTGGTAAAGCTACCTGGAGGTGGTGTCACCTAAGATGTTTCTGAAGAGCTGACATGAGCAGGTGGCAGTGATCGGGAGGGGTTCTAGAAATGGAAGATGGCCTGACGCCTGTGCCCAGCAAGACTAGAGTCAGTACAACCCTTCTGGCATGGCTCAGTCGTTGAGCGTCAAGCTGTGAACCAGGAGATCACAGTTTGATTCCCAGTCAGGGCACATGTTTGGGTTGCAGGCTTGATCTCCAGTGGAAGGTATGCATGAGGCAGCCGATCAATAATTCTCTCATCATTGATGTTTCTATCTCTCCCTCTCCCTTCTTCTTTGAAATAAATAAAAATATATTAAAAAATAAAAATATATATTTTAAAAAGGACTGGAGAAGAATAAGACTGGATAGATTATATGAGAGCAGATGATGTCATGTCCAGACCTGGGCAATCTGCAGTAGGAAGTACAGAGAAAGAACAAAACAATGGGCTGTTCTCGGGGATCTCATGGTCCCCTTTGGAACACAGAATTAGCACAAACCATGTGATAGTGCAGCACAATCATATGCAGTCTACTGAGCTCTAATGTGCTACTTGCATGGCTAAGAAAGTATCTTTATCCAGAATAACATTGCAAATGCAAGTTTTTCAAATAGGAGGTGTCAAGTATTAGACTGTAGGGGTGTCGAACTCAATCAGAGAAGGGGCCAAAATCTAAAATCCAGCCTAAATCGCGGGCCGAATGGTTTACTGAACAGTCATAAACTGTCATTGTGATGGAAACGCAGCGGAGTGCAGTGATGACAGCGCGGTGCGGGCCACATTGCAAGGCCTGGCGGGACGGATTTGGCCCGCGGGCCTTGTGTTTGACACATGTGTACTAGAGAGTAATATGTGTTTTTATTATCTGTAAGTGCATTAACATAAGCTTTTTGGTCTCTTTTTGCTGTCACCATCAGCACCGTGATTACTCCCCCACTGAGCACACACTCTAATCACCCACTGGTAGGATGCACAAAGCTCAGAGCCTGTCCAGCACAGCAGCTCTGCTCTCCCAGGGCACACTGGCTCCTCACTCACAGCTTTATTCTTCAGTGAGGGCTCATTCCCATCCCCATGGGCAGTACTGCAATCAGGGTAACAAAAATACATTTCCCCGATCTATCAATAGAGCTATATATTATTATGAAACTTGAAGCTGTAGAGGAAATATGTGTATGTATAAAGGTCTTTTGTTTGTGATATTAACTATATCATACAGAATGTAAGAGGAAGGATCTGTGTATTATCTTTATAGTCATTACAGCACCATTCATAAAACATTTCATTAACAAAGTATATAATATTTATTAAAGTAATAAAAATACATCTCACATTCAGAAAAGGGAGAGTCCGCTTGTGGTTGAACTTCCTGGAAGATAATAGTGTTGGAGTAGGAGGAAGAACAAATTTGTAAGATGCCATGAAATAAAAATCATCAGGTCTTGGTAAAACATTGACGACAGGATGTGAAGGAAGCAGAAAAGGCTGTGTGAGAGTGACGGTGTCATTGCACATGTGGAAAGATAAAAGGAAGAGAGCCGATTTGAGAGGGAAGGGACTCAAGTAGTTTACTCTGTTGTGTTCATAAGGCCAGTTTGAAATATGGGCCTGGAAGTGTGTGGGTGGGTGTGGGAGCATGATGAAATGTGAACCGACGGGTGCTCCAAGGGAAAGGCTATGAAGAAAAAAGAATCCAAGACTTCAAATACACATTTTTGTCCTGATTCCTTGCTCAGTATCTGACCAAATTTGCCAACACTTACTTGCATTGTTTTATTCACCACTGATGATCCCAAGTGTCTGAAACACTGCCTTCTATTAATAATTGTCGAAGGAGCTTTCACCTTCTGATAGGAGATGACTAATAATGGACATCAATTGGGAGGGAGGAGAAAGAGAGGCAGAAAGGCAAGGGGCACATTCATTTTTAACTGTAATATAATTCCACTGTTGCACAAGTAATTAAGATAACCTCTAACATAGTCACTAATGGACCGGGAGGTTGAGCATGAAAAAATAGAGAAATGATGGCGATTTTTTCCTGACTCTTATTTTTTTTTTCTATATTAAATGAACTGCTAGAAGGATTGACAGCTACAGTCTTCTTATGGATAGATTTTCTGTTACAAAGCTAGAAATGATTCTTTGAAGAAAGGAAAAGGAAACTGGAATTGTTTTGAGAAGCATGGAGAATGGAGGATGAATTAAAATGATCAAATAAAGGTGCAGGTGACAGGTTCTTGTATATTTTTGAAAACTATTGAATAAAATGGGCTTGAATGGAAAAGGGGAGAGGATGGTTAGCTTAGGGAAACAAGTCTTACTATAATAGTAGGGCTGAAGAGGGCTCATTGCAGGCTTTCCTATACTAACGCCCACCTGTACCCGATGGTTCGGAGCCGTGGAGTCACCTGGAGGCTTGCTTCTCCGAGTGCAGCATGAGCCTCACCTTGGAGCTTGTGGGAAATGTGGGGTCTCTAGCTCCACCTCAGACCTAGAAATGATTTATTTTCAATTAAAAGTATGCCTCATTTTAATGCAGCAATGCTGATTCTCAGAAGTTGTACTTAAAATGAAATTAAGAAAAATGAAATAATTTAAAATACACAGGAGGTAAAGTTATCAAAGGAATTCTGCACAGCATCCTTTTGGAACGTGAGTAATTCCATGAATCACCTGTTCCTTCTCTCCATCCTCTCTTTCTGTTCTGTGAGTCCAAGTTCTTCCTTCTAAGGAAGGCACAAATGAAGAGAAGCTGTTCTTTGCCCAACCAACCTGTTGGGGGTAAAACACAGAACTGGTAGTAATTGAAGCAGCAATCTAAAGCAAACAGAGATAAGAAATGATGATTGTTATCATATCTGATTTTAGTCACAAGATAATTTAAGCAGATAAAATGTAATTAACCACTTTGGAATGTGTCCAACTGGTGATGGCTTATTTCCTCCATGTTCTTTGACCTTAAACTAAATCTTGCTAGGGTTTCTCCCCAGATAATACTTAATAGGTTAACATCACACTGATTATATGTTTTCAGTGTGTTGAGAAGGTTAAACAAACAAGCAGGAGATAAAGGGTTTTGCATCTGGATGCTTAAAATAGTCTGGGATTGAGATCAGATTCCTTTCATACCACAATTTGCCCCTCACTCTCTGCTTTAGAAACTTTAGATGTCCTAGTGACATTTGAAAGGAGACAGAGGAGCAGGGAGTGTCCAGGGGGTCGTGATATTAGTGCTGAGTCTAGATTACCCACTAGCACTGGGGCACTTAGTGTTGCTCATTTGTGATGAAAACGAGATTGGACTAGGTCAACAATCTTCAGCCTTTTTCATCTCATAGCACATAAACTAATTACTAAAATTCTGCAGCCACCAAAAGATATATGTTATGCTAATACAAAAAAAAAAGTATAATTTTGATTCACTCACACCAGATGGCTATTGTTGTATTGACTGTTGTCATTATATATTAGCGGGGCATCTTATATACTGGAAAATACGGTATTGATTTTCCACAGAGAGCAAGGAAGAGGGATAAAGAGCTAGAAACATTGATGAGAGAGAAACATTGACCAGCTGCCTCCTGCACACCCCTGGCGTGCCCGCAACCAATGTACATGCCCTTGACTGGAATCAAACCTGAGACCTTTCAGTCCGCAGACCAAGGCTCTATCCACTGAACCAAACTGATTTTGGCTGTTGTCATTTTTTTTTTTTACTTGACAGTCTAAGGCAGTGGTCAGCAAACTCATTGGTCAACAGAGCCAAATATCAACAGTACAATGATTGAAATTTCTTTTGAGAGCCAAATTTTTTAAACTTAAACTTCTTCTAACACCACTTCTCCAAAATAGATTCACCCTGGCCGTGGTATTTTGTGGAAGAGCCACACTCAAGGGGCCCAAGGGCCGCATGTGGCTCGCGAGCTGCAGTTTGCAGACCACGTGTCTAAGGGAAAAGGGATCATGCCCCTGACTAAGTAGTTCAGGTATGGCATATGTTAAGCATTCTTGCAGCACACCGCGTGAAAATAGCTGGGCTAGACCATCCTGCTCTGCGACTTTGGAAGCAGCTGCTCGTGAATGTGAAAGTGTTAGCAGAGATGCTGTGTAAGTTCCAGCAGCAGCTGAGGCATTGGCCAGAGAAGCAGTGATAAAGACTAGAGAGGTGGGCCAATGATCAGGGTACCCTTCACGGTACCAGCACACAGCTTCCAGAAAGTGGCCCCTGGAAAAGTGACAGCTTATGGAGTAGCAGTCGGTGGGTATTGAGTACCTTAGGTGTAGGCACTTAGGGAGTATTTGGCAATCAGAATTTGAAGACTGTTTACTAACATGGAAAATTCTTATGACATGAACTCTTAAGTTTAAAAAAATGGGCTCCAAACTCAGGTGCATAGCATGACTATATGAATATAAAAAGAAAATACGCTAAACTAAAACTAAAAACCCCTAGAGCAGCGTTTTTCAACCGCTGTTCCGCGGCACACTAGTGTGCCGCGAGATGTTGCCTGGTGTGCCATAGGTGCAGACAAGACAATAATTTTATAATTTTTCACTATTTTGTTTACTTAATATTTCATAATAAAGTAATTATAAAATACTTTGTGTTTATTTGATTCCTATTCAAGAGAATTACTTTATATATAGTCAATATAGGCACAGAGTTAAATTTTTTAACATTTTCTAATGGTGGTGTGCCTCGTGATTTTTTTCATGAAACAAGTGTGCCTTTGCCCAAAAAAGGTTGAAAAACACTGCCCTAGAGACGAAATAAGTACAGTACAATGCTATTGATGGTGATGGAAGAGTTATGGAATTCTCTCATCTCTCTCTTTCTTAAAATTTATTTTCCAAACTTTGTTGTGTGACTATAATACTATTAAAAAAATAAAAAAAGAAAGATTGTGTGGAAAAGAAAAAATGTATATAAAAAACAGCAACAGAAAAGACAATAAATTTGGGTCAACAAAGTTTAAAATTCTTCTTCTATAAACTTAAGTGGGAGCTTCAGCTCAGGCCAAATTGTAATTTATATTCAGTCAGTTATGAATTGAGTGTAAGCCTCTGAATAACTTGAATGCAAAGAATCAAAATAGAAGGGAAATGCTCAAGTGAATTTTATAGTCCTATTTTCCCCAAACTGCCTACATATCTCCATTAAAGTTGTATCTCATTATTTTTAGTATTTACAGGCTGGGCTTTCCTGAGAGCTCCTTGATACCAGGAATTTCATAGAATTGGTTCAATAAGTTTATTGAATTGGATCCTAAATGGCTTGATTTCTCTTTTATAGAGAAGAGCTTTTTTGTATATTCAAACGAGAGAAGCATCCTGCAGATGTATACTATTGGAGAGCAGCAAGTGGCAAGAAGAGGAAATTCCTGTGCTTGCACATGTCCTCTTGTGTAAGCACTCTTCTAGGCCACTAGAAATGAGTAGAAATATTTTTCCTGTTTGCTTGTGGCATCAGTTCTCCAAGCCACATCAAATGGGATGTATTTGGCCAGGATTGTTTGTTGGTGATCACGTTTGTTCGAAGGCATTCAAACCTTAACAACATAACATGTCCTTGGAAAATTTAGGAAAATTCCAGCAAACTAATTTAGTTAAGCTAAATTGCTAAATTAATACGGCAGAGCCCCATAGAATGATTTTTACCCCCAAATGGCATTAATTTAGAGTGGTTTCTTTTTTATTCCTGCAGCACCGTGGAAAGCTGCTCTGTCTTTCCCACGGGCAATGTAGCCCTGCACCTGTACAACAGCCCATACAGGGGCATTTACTCTCTTTGCTCTTCACTCGCAGTGGAATGGAGAAACAGTGCAGCAGGCCTCAAAATTTTGCTATTTACAAGCAGCTGGGTAGGAAGAACAAAAAGTTGGCAAGGTAGTCTCAGAGTCTGCATCAATCTGAACCTCAGGACATTGCTAGTGGTCTAAAGAAAATATTAATAGCTTAATATGAAATTTAATTCTAAGAACATTTATATTTTAATGGAGGCCTCTTGCTTTACCCAAAAGGAGTTATATTGCAGATGTAGGTAACAGCACACTCTAATCTCCTCCGAACCTGTTCTTGCAGGTAACAGTGGGTGTCATCAACTAGAGTAAAAGGAAATAATCATCTAAAACGGGTTAGAAGTTCAGAATGCCACATGGGAAGGGATCTTCAGACCATGCCTGACCTCGTGGTTTTAAAATCTGACCATCAGAACCCAGGGAAGTGGGGTTATCTGCTGAAGGCCATCCAGTTTCCCAGCGTCAGATTAGAACTATCACACTGGCTTCTCATCCGATGAGCTTTTTATAGACCTACTGCAGCTGCCAAAGATTTGCGGAGAAACCTTAAATTTGCCTAGAAATCAAGTTGCAATGTCCCAAAGAATGAACACAAAAGTGTGGATAGTATGATTATTTCATGAGTGTCCAATGGAAGCCTAGGTACATAGTGACTGACAGACCAGCTGGGGAAAGGAAGGCCACTGTTGGTGGGGCCTGCACCACACAGCTTTTCAAATTGGGAGGTTCTGCTCTATATCTAATCTGAATTTTTCGTGCTGCTGAAATATTGACCTCTTTTTTTCGGTACCTTCTCTAGTTGTTAGTTTCTTTTAGTGAACTTGAGTGATTGAGTTTGTGATTTCAGCTCAGTGGAAGTCTTTAAAAGAATGTTAAAGAAAATAAACTGTATGGAAAGGAGGATTCTTTAAATCTTCCTGCAGGCAGGAACTCAAAGCTCTTTTAAAATGAAGTATGGGATTGTACACTGACAGTTCTTTATACCAGTATTTCATGGATGTTTTCCATCCACATTCTTAGGCCCAGAGGAGTGCATGCTTTTCCTTTAATCAGAAGTTGTTAGTGAAAATGTATTGGAAAACAGGCTGCCTAAATATCAACAGGTCTGGTATGATCATTTTAAACTAATTGGGTTGGCCATAGGTTTACTGGTTTTAGAGACTTCTTTAGTAGTTTTTATTCAGAGGCTGTGCATATTCTTCCATTGTCTGAGAAGTGAGGCAGGCACACAGAAGCAAATTATTGCAAGTTTCAACCCAGGAAATATCCTCTTCCTGATATTCCAGAGTCAGTAGCAAAATGTGCTGTTATGAATACCCAAAGTGTCTCTTTGCTGATTACTCTTATTATCTGCATGCAGACTTAGACTGAAAACTTTTATTGTGAAAGGTTTTGGTTATCCCTGGACCCCTGGGGTGAGAGGATAGAATGAAATACAGAAAAAAATATGGTGATATGTTTTTAAATTTAGGAATATCAGAATTTATGGTGAATTCTAAAAGAGAATTTATTTTGAAATTTATAGCATGAACTCTTATCTTTTCAATATATTTTTAGTTTTGGTTCTGGTTCAGATAAAAACCTATAAAAAACATGGAGACTCTAAATCAGTATGGAATTGCAAATGGGGCTAATTTAGCCTGTGATTGCGTTTTTTTGTTTTTGGTGTTTTTTTTTTTCTTTTTTAACATAACATATAATTAATGTAAGAAAGAGAAATATTGATTCTTTATCTTTCCTCTTCTTTTCAGCTACTCAGTAACTGTGCAAGAGTCATACCCACATCCCTTTGACCAAATTTACTACACCAGCTGCACTGACATTCTGAACTGGTTTAAGTGTACACGGCACAGGTAATGAAAGCTCAGATATATTTTCGAGTTTGGCTAACTGGGAAGGAATTTGATAACAGTCATTAAATACTTTGCTTTTAATACCTTTATTCTATTTAATAACTCTGTATTGAAATATACATTATTTATTTCTAATCTAATTGCAGGTCAAAAGAGGTAACTGTGCTTTTTTCCTCTATATAGAATCAGTTATCGGACAGCCTATCGACATGGGGAGAAGACTATGTATAGGCGCAAATCACAGTGCTGTCCTGGATTTTATGAAAGCAGGGAAATGTGTGTCCGTAAGTAAGACTTTCATTTCCACGAGGTTCGCTTATTTTTCCAGTGCTGGCTTGCCTCTGTTCACAGCAGCAGAGATGGAGGCCTGGGGAGATAGGGCATTGTGGGTCATTGCCTTTCTCTGTCAGCTGCTGCTTTCTTGGTCTGTGTAAGGAGGGAAGCATTTACTCTGTCCCTCTGTCCTATCGAAAATCCTCAAATGAATTTCCCCTCCAGGAGAAAACAGATGCTATAGATAGATGCTTCAAGGCCAGATATAGTAATGTTAATCACCGTTTTCAGTACACGTCTCTTTGGAAATGGGTTGAGGAGTGATTAGGTTTAGGTCACAGAAGGGAACAGAGATGAAACTTTCCCACAGCAGATGACCAGAGTACTGCGTCAACTTCTGGGAGGCCAACGTGTTCTTTGCTGGTGAATAGAATCATGAGGCTTATTAAAAGTAGAGGAGCTGTCACAATAAGAAGTGACTATAGTCATTCAAGTAGATTTTTTTAATTGACATTTTCTCTCTTCCCTCCCCTCTCCATCTCACCAATTCATTCTGGATGTGTTGAGAGAAGTTTGTTATTTAATGATACACTTTAGAAAATCCTAGACTATCACACAACATGCAGTTTGCAACCGAGGTCTTTTACCATTGTGCATTGGATATGTAGAAGAGAGATTTTTAAAAATGATTTTATTCAAATATTTTGGCTCAACACACAGCTGGAGGGCATCTTTGCTTTCTGAGCGGAGACATTCGCGTTGAGTAGCAGAGAGAGAGATAAGGTCTGTTCTAATCTGAAGGCACTAGGAACGATCAGACACATCTGGGCTTAAGAATCTGCAGTGCCAGGTGATAGTACCACTCAGCTGTGTGACCTCAGATAAGCTACCAATACCTTTTTGAGGTTCCTTTGAAAGAGAAGGCAGCAGGAAAAAGGGAAAACAAATATGATATGTACTGACTTCATAAAAGATGCCATATGCATGAATCTACAGGAGCTGAGCAGGGCTGTTCAGAACAGCACATGGACATCACACACACACACACACACACACACACACACACACTCGCATGCGAGGCTTAGATCAATATATGTGTTCTCTTCCTTCAAATCCTGGATTTTATTCAAAGTTCTTTTAAATGTTGTAATATTCTATTTGTAAGATTTCAACTTTAAAATAACATTTCTAATCAATTATTGCATTACACATTGAAAAAGTGAAATTAGAAGACTGCCCTCTTATTCTACAATAACAGGCCTTTAAATATTACAAATATATTTTAAAATTATAAACACACTATATTTTGATTCTTTTACACATTTCTATCTTAAAATTAAAATATTCACAAGACTAAAAGTTGATTAACTTCTAAGCCAATAATTTTGGCATCTCATGTTTTTTGGTTCACTTTCCCCCCCTTTTTTATTGAATTTATTGGGTGACATAGGTTAACAATATTATACAGGTTTCAGGTGCACAATTCCACAGCATATCATCTGTACTCTGTACTGTGTGTTCACCACCCCAAGTCAAGTCTCCTTCCATCACCATTTATCCCCCCTGAACCCTCCACTACATCCCTCCTCCCCTACCCCTCCTTAGCAATCACCGCACTAAATTTTTGTGGTCTCTTCTGTATGTGAAGTTATTTATTCTTTTATTTTTAGATTAGAGTAAAAACAAAGATATAACATTAAATTTACTATCTTAATCATTAAAAGTTTTTTTAGATTATTAATTTGAGAGAGAGAGAGAGAGAGAGAGAGAGAGAGAGAGAGAGAGAGAAATTGATTTGTTGATCCACTTATTTATGCATTTTTTGGCTGCTCCTTGTATGTGCCCTGACTGGGATTAAACCTGCAACCTTAGGATATTGAAATGATGCTCTAACCGACTGAGCTACCTAGCCAGGGCCCATCTTAATAATCTTTAAATGGTATTAAGTATATTCAGATTGTTGTGCAATAGAGCTCTAGAACTTTTTCGTCTTTTGAAACTGAAAGCCCCCCTCACCTTTCCTGCAGCCATTTACTTCTATTTTCTGTGTTGAGTATTTGACTACTTTAGCTATTTCATATTGCGAGTTTTTACTACGTTTAGAAATTATGTGGTATTTGTCCTTTAATGACGAACTTAGCAACCTCATCCATGTTGCAGCATTTTGACAGGATTTCTTTTTTTAGGGCTACATAATATTTCTTTGTGTTTTCTGAAGTTTTTTTAAATACCAGAAAACATGGTCCTTGATTACTGCCTTGATGGAACATACTGTGACCGTTGTCTGTTTTAGATGCTGTATCCTGTATCACTGAGATTTAAGACATTATTTCCTGGTGCCATTTGTGTTTTCCTTTCAGTGACAGGAACAGGCTGGGGGATGAAGTGAGACTGATTGGTTTCTCAGAGAGCCACAGAAATGCTGATTAGAAACAACAGGTGGCAGTGGAGAGGGAAACTGGCTGATTTCAGGGCTGGTAAAGGAGACAGTCTGAGACTGGGACTTGAATAACACACGTCAGGGAAAAGTCGGCAGAAGCCAGGCTCTTTGAAGCCCCTTATTCTCACCAGCATCACGGGGATTCATTCTCACCTCAGAGTTCCACAGGTCCCCTCTCCTAAGAGCTCAACTGTTTTCAACTCCAGTGGTGGTCTGGAGCCAGGGCAACCTCCTGTCTTTTTGTATGACCCCCCACCATGAAACTCTGAGGAGAGAGGAATAGTCTCCGGTCCTGTGGCAGCAAGAGGAGCTAGGCAGCCCGAACTGAAACGTGAATGCGCTGGCACATGGGAAGGAGTTGAGACCCACACTCGTGATCTCCACAGCAATTTCCAACCATTTACAGCTCATGGCACACAGGAACTAACTACTGAAATTCTGTGGCACATCAAAAAACATACTATGTTTTTTGCCAATATGGCAAAAAAAAAAAAAAAAAAAAAAAAGGTATAACTTTGATTCACTCACACCAGATGGCTATTGTTGGGTTGGCTGTTGTCATTTATTGTTTGACATTCTAAGGGAAAAGAGGTCAGTACCTCTGACTAAATAGTCAGGTATTGCACATCTTAAAAATTCTTACAGCACACCAGTATGTGGTGGAACACCATTTGAAAGTCAGAGTTGTAAATTATGGAGCAAATGTGTATTGTAGGCTGCCCTGGGCACCTAGCCATTATTTACAAGTTAGAATTCTAGAAAACGTGTTTGGAGGTACACAAAACTGTCTTCCAAACACCTCTTTGGAACCCACCCTGTTAGCAAGTGGAGATTGCCTATAGGTTTGGTTGCGTGGAACTAAGGCAGGATCACAGGAAAAGCAGCAGCAGGGCGGAAAGTGGCAACTCTCCCTCTGTGGGAAGGATTGGTTGATCCCAAGATTGGGCCGACTGTACATTCTCACTCCAATGTCCTTGGCTTCCCCTTGGCTGATCAGAGAGAAAGTAAATCGTTTTAAGCAGGGCTGTTTGCAACAGAATCAGAATGGACAAAAAGCATGGCCTTTCTCCAATCCAGCTTCCATCTTCTGCCCAGATGCCTTCTTCTCCCGCTGGGTGCTACTGCAAAGGAAGGGAACATTCTGACGACTGTTTCCTTGGTGGTAGACAACTCCTAGTCTAGGTTTGTTTGATGGAAGAGGTCAAATACTAACTTCAAATCAAAGCTGGAATGGGAGCATTGCAGGCAGTGTGACTTTCAAGGAAGAAACAAGGGGAGGTTTGGGGGCTGGGTCACCCGCTCGATTGCCTTGTCGGCCAGCTCTGAGCAGAAGATCAGTTCCCATGGATGTGCCCTGTATGTCTTTGGCACTTAAGAGAACTTGGGAACCGTAAATAAGAAGCCTGAACTCCCACACACGGAACTGTATATGATTTCCTGTCCTTAGCAGAGATGAGTGTGACAATTGATTACCATGCAGTGAATGAATATTCACAGCTGATTTTTAGCTTGGCCAACTTTATGAAAAACTGAGTTGGCTGTAGGCAAATAAGGGGACTAGAACTGTGTTTGGTGTTCACATAAAAAATAATTCTGGCAGATAAACTTTATTCATGTTTGAATATCATGCTTAAGTAAGTAATGGGGTTTAAACCCAAAATTTAGGTTAAGGACTTAGAGACATCTGCACCTCACTTACCCAGAACTGTGTTTCTTCAAGGAGACAATCTGCCACAGAGGTAGCACTTTTAGGGGGCCGCATAAGGGTATTTTGCCATATAATCCATACATTTCCCCCTTTCTTCTTTTTTGTTTTGAAATATTGTTAGACCAAAACTAATAGTTTCCCTTTTGGGAGAGAAGGTACCTTCTCTTGGAAGTGACTACCTGGAACCTTGTGTTTAGAAGGAGTCTGAGGCCATATCTGTACTGAGAGAGAACAGATAGACGACTCATTAGTGATCTGTCTTGTTCTTGGTATAACCCAAGGGCCCACATTTGCCATCCCTGTATTAGACTCTGTCTGGCATCCTATAGCATTTTGGACCTTTGAGTCGTAGAGATATCAGCTGAGATTCCTGAGTCATGCACCTGGCCCACAGGCTCTTGCTACACGTAGCTTCTCCCTTTAACTGGGGGTCCTATGTACTGTTCCTGCTCTGGTCCCCAGGAAAATGAGCTTCTTCTGTGAACTGGAATATTTGCTAAGCTAGCTCAGGATTATATTGTCAGAAATTTCGTTTGGGAATGCAAAAAGATATTCAACAGCTACCTTTTGCCTCAGCATCAGCCATAGGAGGGCCTGATAGGAAGGATATTTCAGACGTAGGCAAATTGGGCTTTTGGGAAGAGCTGGGCAGCAGATACTTGTTTCTCTGACTTGGAAGTCACGGAAGGACACCTTTAATTCTCTATCTAGTCATCATGTCATTTTGGTCTTTGGCTGCTGAAAAGTTGGGGCAGGTTTTTCAGGACGAGAAGAGCTAGAGGGCCGACAGGATGCCGTGTACGAGGCTGTGAAGATTCAGCGTTTGGCGGGTGCTGTGTTGGCAAGCTGGGCTCTGGGGGACT